AACCCTATACAGGGTCGCTATGGGTCGAAACCAACTTGACGGCACTTAACAACAATTCTAGGCATGGTCACTCAAGCCTTTGGAACTTAAGACTTGAGAAATCTTCTAGTTTGACCCCTCTCATAGTATTGATCTAGTGGGTCTCATAATGTCAACACTGGGGTCTACAAAGTGGTTCCCAGTGAATGCTGACTAGTATCCTATAGCTTCTCTGTTCATAATGTGAGTCGTGGTTTTCCTTCATGAACTTCTTAGAAAAACCAAACTATACCTATTACCATCAAGTCAGTTCTGACTCATAGTAATAAGTAGGGTTTCCAAGATTGTAAACCTTTATAGGAGCAGACAACTTCATCTTTCTCCCTCAGAATGACCGATGGGTTTGAACCACCAACCTTGCCATTAGCAGCCCAATGCCTAACCCATGGCACCACTAGGGCTCCTTAAAAATATGGAGGAGAGATGAGTGAAAATGCAGTTAGAGGCACAAGAGACTGAGCCCAGAACTTTGTACGTGCAGAGCATGTGCTTTACCACTAATCTACATCCCAAATGGCAAGTTACTGAAAACAGCATCTAAAAAACACCCATTGCTGTCCAGTTGCATTTGACTGGAATTGCCCCCATGTGTTACAGAGTGTGATTGTTCTATACGACCTTCTGGGCTGTGGTTGTTATGGAAACACAGCACCAGGCCTGTTTTCCCTGGTGCCACTAGGTAGGCTCGAAATCACCAACCTTCTGAATCAAGCATGGTTTGTACCATGCAGGGTCCAAGCAGTGACTAAACCTCCACTTATTAAGCACCTGGTAGTGTAGTGGTTATGAATCAGGCTGGAAACCTTAAGGTCAGCAATTCAAAACTACCAGCCGCTCTGCGGGAGAAAGATGAGGCTTTGTGCTCCTGGCAAGATTTATAGCCTTGGAAACCCTGTACAGGGTCACTATGAGTCAGAACCGACTCGACGGCATGTAACAACAACAACAGACCTGCTTCTGTCATCTTCAGTCTTCACAACAACCCTTTTCATAGGTGAGATCCAGTTTCATAGGTGAGAAAATTGCAGTTGTTAGGTAAATATCAGGAGCCAGGATTCAAACCTAGAAGGACATGGTACCAATTCCATGCCTCGTCACACAGCATCTCAACCAGCCACTTATCATGAAGCTGAAAACAGCAAGGAGTCCTGGCAGCTATGGAGTGGACCAGAAACCTCTGCTCTGAGCAGATGCCAGGTCTGGGGCAAATCACAAAAAGGTGCTACAGTTAAAGGGGACATTGAGAGTTACCTTGAAGGAAGTAGTGGTAACTAGAGTGGAGGTGGTGGTGGTGGTGATGTGCCATGGAGTCGGTTCTGACTCACAGCACCCCTGTATAGTGTTTCCAAGGCTATAAATCTTTACCGGAGCAGAAAGCCAAATCTTTCTCCTGCGGAACCGCAGGTAGTTTCAAACTGCTGACCGTGAGGTTAGCAGCCCGACTCATAATCACTTCACTACCACAGCTCCTTGGCAACTAGAGCAGCGCTCTTCAAAGTGTGAACCATGAATCCATGTTGGGCTGTGATATCGTTGTGTTTTGAAGTGCCATCGAGTCCATTCTGACTCATAACGACTCTGTATAGGGTTTCAAAGGAGCAGCTGATGGGTGTGAACTACCAACCTTACAGTCCAGTACTGATCCTACAGCGCCACCTCAGGAGCCCCAAACGTGTGTAGGAAATGGGATGACAATTGGACAGAGTAATAGCATGTCTGTTGTATCTAGTAATAAATATCGGGGACAGGGAGCACTCATATTTTGTGTACTATTGCTTTCTTTTTCATTTCTTTGTATTTACAAAAGCACTAGTCCACAATAGACTGGAGACAAGAACACCAGCCCTTCACCCACAAACCTGATGGACTGAATGATGAAGCCTCGGAGTCTGTGCCTTGATTACTTATAACAAATTGAGTAGTGATTTCTTAGGATTCTACAGCACGTTCTGGTTTTAAAAATGTTTTCACACTCGTCTTCTTTGTGCCCACAGTCAATGTGGGCTGAAGGTATAACAGGAATGTGTCTGTTACAGAGGAGACTGGATGCTAGAGAAACAATGAGTGATTGTACAAGATCGCCTCGCCAGAATATCGTGATATTAAACCTAGACTGACAGCTCAGCTCTTCAACTCTGACTCCTACTTGGGTACTCTTTGTGCTCTCAGGAAAAAGCTACAGCCTTCCCCTTTACAATCCTCAGTATGAAGAATCCCTGACCCATTCCTCCAAAGGACAGGCTGATCAGAGAAATACCCCTGGAGATCATGTCTGCACCATCAGATGGCCCCAAAGAGGGTGTTTCCAGCCCATTTTCTCTGCACTGTAGCCAAGAACATGTGTCCTGTGCTGTAGCCAGCACACTGCAAGCACTTAATAAATTACACGGCCTTTTCTGCACTGCCAAATCTGGCCTCAGCAATTTGTACATTAGCCGGCATACAATGAAGCAGTTGTAAAAACAACCCAATCTCATGTGAGAGTTTGGGTTGATTCTAATTCCCTGATGTTGAGGGGAATGCCACCTTGCTCTGTGACAGGTATCCAAACATTGTCTTCAAAATGCCCCCAGAGGTTTGCAGAATACCAACTGAGCTTCTCATAAGATTACATCCTAGACTTGAGGGATAGCTTTCCTCCTAGGATTTGAGACAATGCCATTATTGTGGCAAGATGCAGTTAAGTCTACCTTTGTTCTTTACCCTTATTTAAAAGAAAAATTCATTTAAAAGGGTCCTGATGCTGACAGGATCTCCCAAGTCATGCCTCATTCATTGCTTAACCCTTTTCAGCTGTCAGGAGACTTTTTTCTCCAGAAATGGGGAAGGTCACAGTGAGTCATGTCCCCTAAACTCTCTGAGACCATTCAAAGTAAGAGACCAGGGGATAAAATGAGTAATAAGGAAGATTCTCCCTCCCCTCTCCTATTTCTTGTCCCTGTCCAGGTCTGAGTTCCCCTCCTTATAGATCCATCTTCTATTATGGTACCAAGCAAGGCCTTCAGCTTTGCGTGTATTTACTGGACAATCTCTAGCTCCCCTATTTCCAAAAGCATTTCCAGAATGCTCAAAAGCCAAGGCAGAGAGGAACACTCAGAGGAGAATTAATATGAACTAGTCTCTGTTTTTTGAGTTCTGGTGTGGTGCTGTAGGATAAGCACTTAACCTCAAAGTCGGTTTGAACCACAGGATTCACAGTTCAAACTCACCAGCTGTTCCTCAGAAACCCTATACAGGGTCGCTGTGGGTCGGAATCAACTTAACGACACTTAGCAACAAGAAATGTCTGTTTTGGGAGTCCTGGTGTAGAGCTATAGGATAAGCACTGGACTGCAAGGTCTGCTTGAACCTCAAGGTTGGCATTCAAACCCACTAGCCATTCTTTGGAAACCCTACACAGGGTCATTATGAGTCAAAATTAACTCTATGGCACTTAATAACAAACAATAGTGTCTGGGAAGAAAAAGGTTTGGAGGAAAAGGAGCTAGAGCATCTGCCAATCTTAGCTCTCCTAAGGGACACTGGTGATGGCCCAAAGTCCTCTTTACAGAGCATGAGCAGTTCCCACAGCCCAGGTCACTGCCCCTCAAGTTGAGGCCTGGGCATCATTAACGCCAGTCCACAGCCAAGTGTGGTGCTGTGGGTTAATGTGCTGGACTGTAAAGTCAGTTTGAACTACAGGGTCAGTGGTTCTAGCTCACCAGCCACTTCTCAGAAACCCTAGACAGGGTCGCTATGGGTCAGAAACAACTCAATGGCACACAACAACAACAACACAGCCAAGTGAGTAGTATCCTGTCCTTCATCCTGGCATCTACAAACCCCACCCAACCCCTCACCACTCACTTTGAGTCTGGGGAATTGGATTCCAGGAAAGCAAAAAGACAGGGAGCATTTGAAAGAAAAATCCAGAAGTTGCATCCTTCTGGGTGACAAGAATAATATATTTAATATAAAACTGGCCTACGATTAGACTTAGGGAACAGTAAGCAGGGCTTCGAACAGGTTCAAAATAGTTCAGTCATAGTTGACAGAAACAAGGGCAGCCCATGCACTGCATACATAGCAACAGAATCTCTTTGGCATCAGATTTTGACTGAGTAGTCAACAGGCAGTAGTGCCCTGATCAAAGATGGCAGCCGACACACATTCAAAGCGGCACAGAAGGCCACCATCTTTGAGCAGGGCTCTGCTGCTGGTTCCCTACATAGGTCAAAATTTAACACAGAAGATTGACTTGTGGTGTAGCACTTTTGCTTCATTTGTTTCCATCTGCCATGACTAAACCCAAGACTTTCAGAGCCCCAAAGGTCAGGAGGCTGTGCATGCTTAGACCCTCACCCCAGCAGCACCCTGGAGGATCCACAAAGGAGTCATGTGGCTGTAAACCATGGTCATAGGTTATACGTGGCTTTGAGGAACTGCTGGCTACACTGTGTGAAAGCCACCCCAGCCTTCGAATCATGGAATGCTCAGTATTACCCAGGACCTCTCAGGCCACTTTATAGATAAGAGAAACAAAGCTCGGTGTTGACCTGTGGCTTGTTAGTAGTTTAGCTTGGATATAAGGTCTTCTTCTTGAAATAGAAAGGTATATGCAGATGGCAGCCTCTGGGAAAATTCTAGTGGAAATGCTGGACTGGTTTTTATTTGTAAGTATTTTCTGGAAATATTTTCATTGCTTCTTATAACACCCCTGTGAGCTAAGTTTTTACATACTTGTCAAATCTCATCAGATCAACCCCAGACATTTTCCTACAAGATCCCTCCCAGGTTTTGGCAGTTGACTGTACTACAGAGAACTCTCTCAACTGCTTCCTCCTTCACAATCGCCACCCCCACTACTTGTTTAGCTTGTGTTTCTTCCTCTCTGACTCTACAGCCCACCTTACCCCAAGCCTATAGGTACATGGACGGGAAGGCTGCTAACCCTCTGTAGCTATTGGGGGCTACCATCTTACCATGCCCGGGGGGCAGAGACAGCCGGACACACAGCCCCTGCTCATGCACTCCAGGTCGTAGTTCTGGCAGGTTTTGGCACACTCTAGCCCTTCGGCCCGTGGGTTGTCAGCGGGACACACCAACTTGACCATGGGGGGTCGGCAGGACAGGCTCCTTTTGCCTTGGAAGTAGGAAAATCAAAGAAATGAAGAGTGAAGGAGTGAATAAGTCTATCTTCGACACTGTCCAATGGCCCCCTTGGTGCAGTCACTCCATTTAAGAAACTCCAAGCTGGCCCCACCCTGGGGAATAGACACTGCCCAAGCTTTAGCTGAATCTGGCCCTGAGGTAAGTGCCCTGAATGAGAGATGGCAACCTCATCTATTTGTCCTACGTTTGTCTGGTGGCCCGGTTTCCTCATCACCCTTGACCCAGCTGAGCAGGACGCATTGAGTCAGAACACAAGGCAGACATTTTCAGACCTAGGTTAAAAAGGGTTCTTAGAAATTCTGAGAAAGTCCTAACAGGTCTATTCCTAAAATGATTACAGTTGATGTAGAAAGTGATGATTATTCAGTCACAAAGATTTTTTAAAGGAGGTTTTACACAAATTTCATCCTCGTTGGGAAGCTATCCCCTATTCGACACTCCTATCTCCCTTCTGTCTTTGTTTTTCTCTTGGACACATATCTGATATAACTATATATTTTATTTATGCATATTTGTTGATTGGCATCTCTTTCTTACTCACTAGAATAATATGTCCAACAAAGACATGGATTTTTATCAACTTTGTTCATTGATGGATCATATTTCCTGACAATTAATAGGTATTAACAGTATGTTTTAGTGAGATTGGCCCAGGATCGGGCAGTGTTTCGTTCTGCTGTGCACAGGGTCGGTATGAGTCGGTACTGACTCGATGGCACCACCAACAACAACAACAACAAACAGTGTATTGAATAGATTATGACACTGGAAAACTGAGACAGCACCCTTATTTCAAAATCCTGGTGTTCTCAGCATCATTTAGATCATTTAGTACTTACTGTGGGAAAGCCAGAATTTTTCACCTTATAAAAGTTAGGAAGCTAGAACTCCTAAAGGCTAAGTGGCTTTTACAAATCTGCTCAGAATTCTAAAAGTTTCCTGATTTTGACTAGACTTGAAAACTTTAAGCAAGAGAGGCAGAACGTATTGAAGACTGGTTTACAGAGGAAGTGTGAGGAAGATGCTGCAGCAAAAGAGAAAGCAAGAGGCCAAAGAATTTTCTAGCCATGGGACCACAAGTTCTGATTTCAACTTGTGAGCTACCTACATGTTTGGGATCTTGCTCCACCGCCAAGATGAAAGATGCTCCCTAATCACTCATCCAGGATAGCAAATCTCTTACCAGGGTCAGCCTGGGAAACAAGCAGCCTAGCTGACCCCTTGGAGAAAGGGAGTGTTATGGAAATGAGAAGCAGATAGAGATGAGGTCAAATGGGAGGCTGAAAATAGCTCAACTATCAGCCTAAAAGCACAGCTCTCCCTCTTTGCAGAAGAGTCCTTTCCATGCCAGGAACATCCTTCTGGAAACAAGTAAGGGCCATCTGCCAACACTGGGTCAGCCCCTTTTCCCATTTGTGCCTTGTCCTTAACCAGTACAGCAACTATTAGGTCCTTCAAGCTAAAACCAATTGACTCAAACCCTCCTCTTTCAAATTCATTTGTGGCGTTTCTTTAAAGATCTCCTCATTAGCATGTCCATAGCAAACAGACCCAGGGTCATCTAAGGAGAATATCACAACTCATAGTTGTTCACCAGGTCAGGCCACCCTGGGAAAAACAAGCGTCCTCACTGAGTCTTGTACATAACTCCATCTTTTTCCTTTCCCCCGATAAAAATGTTTCTGGCTCAGTAGTTTGGATTTACACATGCAAAGGCCTGACCCTCACTCACATAAACAGAAATGGAGGCAAACCTAGATGAAGCCAGACCCATGCCTGAATGCTCATGCACACACAATGCAGCCCAGCTCTCCCCTCACTCCATACATTCATTCGGAGTCTGAGCAGAGGGAGGCAAGGAGCCCTGCCAAGGGTGTGATACTCACTGCGGTGAGATAGAGGACTGCTGAGGGCAAACTCTGGCAGCCAGCTTCCTGGGGAGCCACTTGTAGTGCAGTGCATGAAACCGTCCTCACAATAGCTGCAAAGAGGAGAATCTCAGTCCAACTCCACCAGAGTCAGCTACACCTCCTGTCTCCATTTCCTCACCTCCCACTCACTCGACACCTCTCTAATCGGGATTCCTGGTCCCATAGCTTCAATGACCTTCAGGTCACAATGGAATTGTTTTCAATTCCCTTCCCTCTGGATCCCCTTCAACATTATTCATCACTGTTGGCTGCTTCATTTCTCTAGGGGGGGAAACCCACACCTCTCCTGGTTTCCCTGCTGTGTCCCTGATCACTCCTTCTCTGCTTCAACTATAGGTTGACCCCGATTCCTGACCTGTAAATGTCAGCATCCTCCAGGCCCATACTAGGTTCTCTCTCTCTTCTCACTCCACACTGTCATCCACAACCCCTACTTCAATTACAGAAATGACTCACAAATTTAGATCAGCAACTAAGCCTTCTCCTTTGAACTCCTGACCCGTGTCATCAAAAACTTGTAAGATAGCCAACTTTGGTGTCTCAAAGGCATCTCAAACATGGGAGGCCCAGACCTGAATTCATAATCTTCTCCACAAAGTCAGTTTTCTTCTAAGGCTTGGAGTCATTAAATAGTATGAATCCAGTTTCACACACCAGGCACCCAGGGATCATCCCTGGGACTATCGCTCCCTCACCCCCATATATGTCATATATGTGATGAAAAGGATTTTGCCTTCTCATCAAGTCTCTATCTGTGAGTCCCATGAACAATACAAAATGGGTCCAGCCCAAATTGAACTCTGAAGGAGAACCAGAATACCTAGAGCTCCACCCGCCCCCCCAAAAAAAATTACCAAGCACCTGACCTCATGGTAACAACAATTGAAATCCATTAACTGGTATAAAAACAAGCCCATCCAATGGAGATTAGACAAGCTTTTTCCTAGCTCCTTTGTATGTATCCTTGCACGTAAACATCAAGTATATAAATACACCCCTCAATGCCCTGTGCACATCTCTACCCAGGCATCAACCTCTGTCTACAGTTCTCTAATAAAGCTAGATCTGATCAGCTAGGCTTTTTCCTCCTCTTTTTTTAGAATCCAACCTGTGCCCCTTGGAGTCACTCCTACAGCTGATTCAGTGCAGAACAACCCTATCTTCTCTGCCACAAATCACCACCACCTCTTACCTGGGCAATGCAAGAGCCTCCTAACAGATGTCCCAGTACCCTCTCTCCTTGGCAGACCAGACATGTCTTCAAAATCTAAATTTGATTATATTATATCCCTGCTTGAAGCCCTTCAGTAGCTTCCCTCCAATAGGCCTTAGGATAAAGATCAAGCCCCTAAAATGGCTTACTAGGACCCCATGTGATCTAATCCCTGCCTATCTTTCCCATTTCCCACCCACTGGCTTTCTTTTAATCTTGAAGATGCGATGCTCCCATCAAACACATGGGCTTCTGTATGTACTGTTTTCTCTGATCTAATGGAACTTCCTTAAACCATAGCACACTCATACCATTCTTTGCCTCACCTCATCTCCTAACCCCATTTCAAGCTTTCATGGACCGCATACTTCCTAAAAGTAATCACACTTGTAACTTTACATGTAGTTGAATTATTATCTAGTTAACATCTGTCTCTCTCACTGAACTATGCAATCCATGAGGACAGAAACAATAATTGGTCTTGCTCATCATTATATTCTCAGCATTCAACATAGGGATGCATAAGGTACTCAATACACTAGGGGTTTTTTTTGGTTTGTTTGTTTTGTTGTTGTTTAAATTGTCTTTTATCCCCATTTTCCAGTTCCAATACTCTCCTCTAACATGGGCAAATATTTTGAGGCTAGCCAGGCTCCAACATGCCCCTCAATGATCCCCATCTCCTGCTCTTCATACCCTTACACAGTCTCCTTGCATATGGTCCCAGGGTTGGTCTGTGAGTAGGGCAGAAGTGATGTTATGCCACTTCTAACATTAGGTTATTAAAGACTGTGACTTTCACCCATGTGCCTTCTCTCTTGGATCACTCACTCTAGAGGAAGTCATTTCACGGGCCACCTTGTAGAGAAGTCCACATGGTGAAGAACTAAAGCCTCCTGCCAAGGGCCAAGTGAGCTTGGAATGGACCCTCCTGCCCCAGTCAAATCTTCAGGGACTGCAGCCCTGGCTAACAGCTTGACTACAACCTTATGAGACCCTGAGCCAAAACCACCCAGCTAAACTGCTCCTGAATTCCTAACTGTCAGAAACGATGTTGTTGTTATTAAGTTGGAGTTGGTTCCAACTTACAGCGAACCTGTATAGCATTGTTTTATGTACCCATGAATCCATTGCTTTAGAATCAATTCCAGCTCAAAAACAGAACTGCCCCATTGAGTTTCCAAAGCTGTAAATCTTTCCAGAAGCTGACTGCCATATAGTTCCCCCATGGAGCAGCTAGTGGATTCAAACCATCCAACTTTTGGGTAACAACTGAGTGCTTAACCACTGCATCACCAGGACTATTGTGCATGTATATCTAATTTCTAAAGCGTTGGTGATTTAGTGGTAGAATTCCCACCTTCCATGTGGAAGACTCGGGTGTGAGTCTCACCCTACACTTCATGTACAGCCTCCACATGAAGGCTGTGAGTAGAGGCTGCATGCTGCTATGATGCTGCTACATCTCAGAGGAGCTTCCAGACTATGGCAGACTAGGAGGGGAGGCCTGGTAACTACTGCACATCAGCCAGTGCAGGCCCCAGAGCCACAAGGTGGGATCCACACTGAGCATGGCGATGGCACAGGAGTGGGCATAGTTCTGTGCCCTCGTGCATGGGGCCGCCCTGAGTCAAAGGCAGACTCCACAGCAGCTAACAACAATGCTTAATTTCTATAAAGGGGATTTTCTTCAATACTACACCATGTTGTGTTTTCATTCCGTTTTTAAGTCATCCACATTCATGCACATGCACTTGCACAGTACTCTACAACGTGCACCCATCACATTTTACCTGTGACGGGCACAGGTGAGCCCCTATCCTCACCCCCACAAGCCAGGCTGTAAGGAACATCCTCCTACATGTGCCTTATGGATCCGTGTGAGACTTTCTTTAGTAGATGTGCCAGGAACAGAACTATGGGGCTAGATGCATCATGGAGACACACACATTATGTGTGTGTTGCTGCTGTTGTTGTTAGGTGATGTCAGGTCAATTCCAACTAAAAGCAGCCCATGTGACTGAGCAGAACTCACAGCCCCAGAGGATTTTCTTGGCTGTGATCTTTACAGAAGCAGGCCACTGGGTTTTTTTCCTGCAGAGCTGCTGAGTGGTTTTGAACCACCAACCTATCAGTTGTTGTTGTTGTTGTTATGTGCCGTGGAGTCGGAACCGACTCATAGCGACCCTGTACAGGGTTTCCGAGGGTGTAAATCTTTACGGGAGTAGAAAGCCTCATCTTTCTCCCGCGGAGCAGCTGGTAGTTTCGAACTGCTGACCTTGCGGTTCACAGCCCAAGTCGTAACCACTACGTAGAGTGCTTAAACACTGCACCACTGGGCTCCTTCAATTAGCATATTTGCATATGCATTTCTGGTTAATCTCCAGGATGGCTGAATCAGACAATGGCCCACCAGTAGCTCCAGTAGAATTATCTAGATTTCTAAGTTTTCCAGTCTAGTAGTTATCAAGTAATATGTTACTATCTTAACTTGAATTTCTCTGACTATAATATTTTGAACTTTTTTTAAGACTACTGTTCAGTAAATATTCATTGAATATACAAAAGAATCGGTCAACCCCTCTTTGGGCAAGTATAAAACCTATGCTTTCTGGTTGAATTTTAATTAAGACCTGGTTTCAAAAAAATTCAACCTTCATTCCTTAAATGTCATATTCTATGAGGGGGGGTTCAAAAAATTCATGGTAAAATGCCATGATCTTTTCATTCCATTTTTCACCTAACTTTTTGAAGCCCCTCATATCTATCATTTGGACCTGACCCAAAGACTTAATTTTCTAAGAAACCTTGCAAACAGGTTTAAAATCAACTCCTGGCCCAGGGCCTGGGTTGCAGTAGAGGAAGCCCTCTACTGTGTGGTGGTTGTTTGGATGCCCAAATGGTCTTAAGAGCCTCCAGGCCACATATGTTAGTGCCTTCTTATTGCCTTGAGTGGCACAAACAATTTGCACTCTGCTACTGATCAAAAGTTTGGTGGTTCAAGTCTACCCAGCAGCAACAAGGAAGAAAGGCCTGGTGATCTACATCCATAAGATGACAGCCATTGAAAACCCAGAGTAGAGTACAGTTTATTCTCAAATACAAATCAGAATCAACCATTTTCCAAAAATGGACCCATTCTTTGTTGAGTTGTCTAAATATTAAAAGAGAAAACAAACAAATAAGCCCTACACTTCTGGCACATATTATTGTTGTTGTTAAGTGCCGTTGAGTTGCTTCCAACCCATATGTACAATAGAATGAAATATCGCCCAGTCCTGCGCCATTCTTACAACTTCTGCTATGCTTGAGCCCACTGTTGCTGCCACTGTGCCAATCTATCTCATTGGGGGTCTCCCTCTTTTTCACTGTCTCTCCACTTTACCAATCATGATGTCCTTCTCCAGAGATTGATCCCTCCTGACAACATGTCCAAAGTATTAGAAACTAAGTCTGGTCACCTTGGCTTCTAAGGAGCATTCTGACTGTATTTCTTCCAACACAGATTTGGTTGTTCTTCTGGTAGTCCCTGATACATTTCATGTTCTTCTCCAACACCGTAACTCAAATGCATCAATTCTTCTATAGTCTTCCTTATTTATTGTCCAACTTTCACAAGCATATGAGGCAACTGAAAGTACCATAGCATGGGTTGGGCACACTTTAGTCCTCAAACTGACATCTTTGCTCTTGAACATTCCAACCATTGTGCAGCAGTTTTGACTAATGCAAATCAAACCTCATTTGATTTCTTGACTGTTGTTTCCATCAGTGTTGATGGTAGATCCAAGTTAACTGAAGTCTTTGACAACATCAATATTTCCCCCATTTATCATTATATGATTTATTGTAAGGATTTTTTGTTTTCTTTACATTGAGATGCAACTCATACTGAAAGCTGTGGTCTTTGACCTTTATCAGTAAATATTTTAAGTGTTCTTCACTTTCAGCAAGCAAGGTGATTATCATCTGCATATCACAGATTGTTAATGAGTCTTCCTCCAATCTTGATGCCATTTTCTTCTTCATAGAATCCAATTTCTCAGATTATTTGCTCAGTATGTAGACTGAATAACCATAGTGAAAAAATACAACCCTGGCACACATCTTTCCTGATTTGAAACCAGTCAGTGTCCCCTTGTTCTGTTCGAATGACTGCTTCTTGGTCTATTTATATTCTCCAAGAAAGCTAATTTTCTAAATGAAGCAAAGAGATAGGATGGCCATCACTTCCAACCCTTGGTGCAAGTAGAACAGATACCAGAAGAGGGCGGAATCATGGAAAGGTCACCAATGATCAAACTGTGAAGAAAGCTGAGGCCACAGCTGTTTCCCAGCCATTCCCCAAAGTCTCCCACCTTCCCTGATTTGACAAAGTAGCCATTGCCCTGCAAGTCACCCCAGCTTCCTTCTCTCCTCATCACACTGCTGAAACATGGGGGCCATCAGGACCTTCTGATCACTAAATTCAACAGCCTGTTCTCAATGAAATATGAAGAGAACACTGGTTCAAGAGTCCCTGGGTAAAGTGATAATCTCTCTATGCCTCAAATTCCATATTACAAAAACAAGCCCTTCCTGCCTAACAGTGTTGTTCTAAGGTCCCAGAGAGAAATGCTCGGAAAAGTATAGGCAGACAACTAACTGTACTATAACAACTACTAGGCAGAGACCAAAAGATGTGATCCCATCCTACTGCCTTTACCTTCCATTATGGCACTGTCCTAACTGCACCCTTTTTGCTGACCCTTTTCTTTGTCCTCACTCACAGGATCCTCTTTCTCCTCCCCTGACCCTCTGAACATTCCCCAAAATTATGATTTCACTCCTCTTTTCTGCTCTTCATTTTCCCTTAGCAAGTCTTGCTACTCCCTGGTTGTAAATGTTATCTCTATACAAATCTCAACCCAATCTCTCACTCAAGTTCCAAACCCATAATTTCATTCACCAAGACACCCTTGTGATAACTCAAAGTCTGTAAGGTCAAGACCAAATACCAGATCACCCCTCTTCAGAGCCCACTCTGCCAGAGAGCCCTCTTGCTGCTTTTGATATCACTGAACTCCCAAGTATTCAAGTTCAAGATGAAAAGCCATCTTCAATAATACTTCTTTCTCCCAAACATTTCAATAAGTCTGTTTACTTCCCCACTGCCTCTAGTTTCTATGCCCCACTCTCCATTGCCATTACTATTTCTTAGTCCAGGGCCATCCTACCTTTTGACCAGTCACTTCAACATCTTCCTAAATGGTCTCACTGCCTCCACACCACATTCATGTCCAAAGTCAACTTCCTAAAGCTACACTTTAACTCTTTTTATTCCCTGCCCAAACCTTCCATTGGCTCCCACTACCTATCTCAAGCATCAGTGCCCACCCTACCTTTCAAAGACCCCTGGAACCTGGTCTCAGCTTCCCTCCAGTCATATCTTTCCTTCACACAGAGGACTTACCTTGGTGAGTGTTCAGCACTCCTTGTGAATTTTTCTCTGGGTCTGTGTTCCATTGAGAAAACCCTCCTCCCATCATTGCACCCACCTCTGCTGTTGGAATCCTCACCAAGCTCAGAAACTATCCCTTCCAGGGAGCCTTCCCTAATTCCTTCTAAATGGAAGCACCCCTCCCCATTTCTGAATGAGTAGGGATTTTTAGGTCTCTGATACAGCAAAGATCACAGATGTTATAGTTATTTCTTCTCATAAACATTTATTGAGTACCTACTTTGTGCCAGAATTGTGCTAGGTGCTAGGGATCAGGACCTATGCCATAATTTCTAATCTTGAGGGGCTCACAGTCTAGAGAGGAGATACAAACACAGTCTACAGAAATCCAAGTCCAATAAAGATAACTATTTGAGCAGAAATGTAAACCACATGCTTTGGGTACATGAGGTTGGAAGGTAAAGAATTCATCTCACTGGAGTACTTAGTAAAAAGCTTCATACCAAATGCAATGTGCAGACTTCATTTGGATCTTGATTTGATCAAGCCAACTATAAAAAGACATTTTGAGATAATCAGGAGGAAAGAAACCTGGATTAAACTAGATGCTATTAAGAAATTATTCATTTTTAGAGTAATAATGGTATTGTGAACTCTTGGTGTGGCACTATAGGATAAACACTGTACTGAAAACCACAAGGTTGGTGGTTCAAACCCATCAGTTGCTCCTCAGAAACCCTATACAGGGTTGCTATGAGTCAGAAACGACTCGATGGCACTTAACACCAACAACAATGGCATTGTGGCTAAACTACAAAATATTTACGTTATAAATACATATTGAAGGATTTATAGGAGAAAGGTAAAATGACTGAGGTTTTCTATAAGCTACCCCAGCCAGAAATGGGGACTGAATGGAGACAATGACAATGGGACTGTGCTGGTAATCACTGAAGCTAGTGACGGGACATCAGGGTGCCTTATCCTACTACTCTCTCAACTTTTCCCTAAGTTTACATTTTAATGTAATCAGGACATTTTAACTGAGCTCTCTTTGTAAACTGTCAGGGGAGTCTGTCAGCAATGCCTAGCCTAGAACTCGGTTCCATGTAAGTGGCTGCCCAACAATCGTTCTGTTGTAAATTATTTTTGTGACCATGACAGTCTTGCTGAAACTGAAAGTCACCATCACATGAACTCTAAGAATCAACCAAGATTTGGAGCAATTTTACATGTCTAATGTACACAAGTCAGAGTAGGAATATACCAGTAAATCAATGCTGTTATAGTCTATTTTCATCTGGCTCAAAATGTTTCAGTCTAAGAACAGCAAGCTGAGGCTGGAAATGGGGGTCAGGTCTTCCACTTCCTGTTCTACAATAAGGAAATAATTAAGTCCTAGAGCAAAGGAGTCCTAGTGTGCAGAAACACTAGACTGTTAACCACAAGGTCAGCAATTCAAACCCACCAACCACTCCTCAGAAACCTTATGAGTTGGAACTGACTCAAAAGCACTTAATAGCAACAACAGAGCAAGAAAATGGTATCCAATACATGACAGCTGGCAATGAAGTTCAAGAATCCCTACTGCCAGCCTAGAGATCTAGTTGCCCACACGGTGAGGCAGCTAGAAGACATGAACAAGAGCCCAGCTGTGCTTCTCTGAACAAATCCATAAACTGAAGGATAGAATTTAGAAAGCCATTTTACTACCCAGATCTGCCATCCCAGACTGACCCTGCTGCTGGCACTCACCATGTGGTATGATGGTCTGAGAAGACATCTTCAGGCTGAAAGATCTCGCCATCATAGTAGCAGGGGCACTGGGCCTTGGGCACACAGTCCCCCCTATCATCCAGGTAGAGTCCTGGGGGGCAGAAGCAGCCTTCAAGGCAGACCTCATTGCATTCCTCATCCGGGTAAGAGAGAGAGCGGCAGGTCAGATTGCAGGGAACCCCACACTGCAGGTACACCTGGTCCTGAGGGCAGCTCAGTGCTGGGGAAGATGGAAGGAAATGGAAAGCTTCAGTGGCAGGACTGAGAAGACACGTAGTGGTTACGAATCGGGCTGCTAACCTCAAGGTCGGCAGTTCGAAACTACCAGCTGTTCTGCAGGAGAAAGATGAGGCTTTCTGCTCCCGTAAAGATATGCAGCCTTGGAAACCCTGTGTAGGGTCACTATGAGTTGGAACTGACTCCACGGTACTTAACAACAACAACTGAGAAGATAAAACCTGTATAGCTCAGGACATGGAGTGTTTTGCAGGTAAGAACCCCAATTATAACTGAATGGTCACTGCCTCCCTTCCCCACTATGAACAGAAGTTTTCATATTTTGTGTATCATAGTCATATGATGTATACAGTTTTTTTCTCTCCTTTAACTTCAGGGTTCATGCTTGAGTCATCTCTGAATTCACAAAGCCTGAGACATAGTAGAAATTCTGGCAGATTTTGAAGCTGTGAATAGTAAAAAGAAGCGACAGGCAGAGGGCATCTCCCATGATGATAACAACAATAATGGCTATTACTTATTGAACACCTACTGAATGCCCCACTCTACACACAGGGTTTATGCCTTTTATGCCTCCCTGGGTGAATTAGATTTTATCACTTATTTTCTCCAGATTAGGAAGTTAAAAGTTACATTTAATGACTTGTCAGAGTCATACTTCCTAGGAAGAAGCAAGAGGCAGGATTTGAACCCAGCTCTGTGATCCAAAATTTATGCTCTTAACCACTGTGCTCTAAAAAAGAAGCAAGCACTTATAAGTCATGTGGTACTGGTCACAAAGCCAGGGACACTCTTATATCTAACTCAGCAAAGGAAATTATATGCACTGACCCACAACCCCACTCACCCGGGACCCTCACATAGAAACTTCATAACAGACAGAAGCCAGGAGGAAATGTAGCAAAGTGGCAAATCAGCTAAAGATGGGGATCCCCACTACCTGAGTACAAACCCCAGTTCCTCCATTCGCTAACTATGTGGCCCAGATCAAGTGGTTCGGTCTCCTTAATGGAGTATAATACTAGCATCTACCTCATAGGGGATTGCAAGGACTAAATGAGGTAACATGTTTAGACTAGTTCCCAGTATGGATAAATGTGCGCTGCTACCATCATCATTATTATGATCTTATCATTATTAATAATTACCAGTAATCACTACCATTATCATTATTATTACCCAAATCATGTAAACAGGCTCCCGATGCCAGAGGATAAATTCCAAATAATAGACCTAAGAAGTCCTAACATTCTGGAATTATGATCAACATATAGGGCCCCTTCTGGCCTAACCGTAGTCACGTGAGCACTCCTGATGAAATTCTTCACTGGGAGAGTACGGGAGTACTTTATTTTTTTTAAAATGCTTTCTTGGTGTTGACCAGTTACTGTCCAAGAAATAAAAACCATGCTCTGGCCACACCTCTCCTGAAGCAATCACAATTCTTTCTGTTAGAACCCATTTCTACAGCAGAAATCCCCTGGCAGAACATTTCAGAGTGGTTATAAATATAAACCCTGGCCATATGCCTCAGGAACAAGGGTGAGGGAACTTCTGGAGAGACCCTGTGGGCGGAGGGGTTCTCTGAGCATATTTACCAGTTGCTGTTGACTTGATCTCAAATCATGGCAATCTCATGTGTGTGACAATAGAACTGTGCTTTGAATGGTTGTCAGTGACTTTTCCGAAGCAATTCTCTGGGTGGTCTCAAACTGTCAACCTTCAAATTAGCAGCTCGGCACTTAACTGTTTCAACCACCCAGGGACACCTCTGATCATATTAGACATCAATTTTCTCAGAACCAGTGGAGAAGTTAGGTCACTGGATAAACATTGAGAGGGTAGATAGGTTGAAGTGGGGGGTATTAGGCAACAAAGATGGACATCCTGCTCAATCCAATAAACACATGATGATAAGGGTACATTTCACCCTCTGAATTTCATTGGAACTGAGAGCTCTTTTTTCTCTAACAGGCTGTCTCTAGAGCTGACTTGCCTTATTAAAATTCTCCTTTAGGTTCTCCCCCAGAAGAAATCATGCACATCTTAGTCTAACAGACATTTACTGAGGGCCCAATATGGGCAGGGGCTGAGCTAGGCTTGGAATACAGTGATGGTGAGATTTGGTCACTGCCTTCAAGGAGTTCATGCATGGCCTTGTCTTCCCAAAGGAAATACAACCAATGTATTTGAAAGTCCAGTGTGTGCTTCTCCTGGATCTCCTCACAACCTCCCACAAAGTAGCTATAAGATAAGCCCTTGCTCCATGAACGGTCCCAATTGGTGTGTCCTCTTCTCATGGATCCTAAAGGAGTCAGCGGCTTAGAAAAGGGAAAATGAGGTCAAAGAGCCAGCTGAAGCTGAGCCCCTCTCTAAATAAAGAAAGAATGCAAGCAATAATCCAGAAGTCCTGCCCACCCTTGTTGAGTTCAAAAGCAACCCAAGATCATCTGGCCAAACTGGTCTCTGGTTCACATAAACCCATAGAGACAGATCCCCACTTGTCTTTAAAAGTCTCCAGAGAAAGGCCCTCCCCATGGCCTAGTCCTTTCTGCCATATCAAATGCCACAGGAGTCAGGAAATTCTTTAGCTGAATCTCAGCATGCCCCACCATCCCCCCCCCCACCACCCACCCCCGCCCCCATAGGCTACTGCACTGTCGGCCATTTCCTCTCGTTCTCCGTGGAGGTTGGAAACAGCTGCTTATGTGAGATTGCAGAGTATTTCAGTTGGCCCTTAGCATTCTTAGAGAATGTCCTAAATTGGGAGATCTTTCTGGCACTAGTTGTTTTGTTGTTGTTGTTAAGTGCCATCGAGTCGGGTCCGACCCATAGCGACCCTGTACAGGGTTTCCAAGGGTGTAAATCTTTACGGGAGTAGAAAGCCTCATCTTTCTCCCGCGGAGTGGCTGGTAGTTTCGAACCGCTGACCTTAAGGTTCGCAGCCCGATTCGTAACCACTACGCTACCAGAGCTTCTGGCACTAGAGCATACCGATAATGCACAGTTTCTAATATTGGTGGGCAACTACAGCACACTCATAAACACCATGTCATCTACTTCTCATTGCTTCCCCACTGTTGAAACAGCAAACACTGACAAGCAGCCTGAAGTTTAGAGGGGCAGAGCAAAGGGTTCAAGGTCATGTAGCTAATAAGTCACAAGTACATTGCCAGCAAAAATTCAGACTCAGTGTGTTCAGAACTGTAACATCCCAGAGCTGAAAGGAGGGCATACTGTGGGCCTTTATGTACATGTGAGGGCTTCACGAGGTCATGGAAAAATTCCATTATCTTTAATTCCATTTTTCCATGACCTGTTTAAAGTCCGCTTGTGTTTGTTCCCTTCATCCTTTTTTTCTCTGCTTCTCTTTTTAATGAGATTGTCATTGTTAAGTGTTGTCAAGTCAGATCTGATTCATACTGACCCCATATAGGGTTTCTGGGGAGTGGCCGGTGAGTTTGAACCACCAATTTCAGGATTCAAACTGACCTTGAGGTCCAGGGCTTATCCTACAGTGCCCCAAAGGAGTCCTTTTACACAAAACATGAGTTGGCTCATAAGACTCTAAACAGTAACATTTCAAGAGCCCCTAACCTAAACTTCTCTTCAAGTATAGGATATTCATTTCTTCCAACGTTCTTCATGAACAGAAAAAGGTAAAAACACTCACTGCCCTCTCCACCTAGGAGACAAGCTAAAATGTTAATCAGGTTACTGAGTGGGACCAATCCTCTCTGCCCAGGAGTCAAACTATCCGCCCAGGAGCAGAACCAATCCTCTGGCTTCTCTTCTGTCTTCAAACATGTTCACAACCTAACCCCTTCCCAATTCTGACCCCATGTAAGTCTGCACTGCCCTATATTCGGCGGTCAGAATCTGGAAAAATTAGCTCCTCTCAGCCAGCTGGCTTAATAAAGCTGAAACTCTGCTTCACCTTTCCAAGTGGCCTCAAGTTTCTTCGACAACGGATCAAGAGCTGCTGCGACACTCAGACCCAGGGCTGCTGTGACACTCTCAAATCTAAAACTGCTGTAACACTCAGAGCTACTATTTTTCTAAGTCCATTAGAAATGCCTACATTTTAGTATCCACCCTCAATACTCAAAATATCCACTACAATTTACAGGGAAAATACTTGTCCTTAGCTCTATGCCTCACCACTATTACTCTATTATTGGAAACAATGTCTTTCAACCAAAAAAATGTACCTAGAAGCATAGCCAAGTATAGGCAGACCTCGTTTATTGTATTTCACTTTATTGTACTTCACAGTATTGTGGGGTTTTTTGTTTTGTTACAAATTGAAGGCTTGTAGAAACCCTGAGTCAAGCAAATCTATTATAAGCACCATTTTTCCAACAACACAGCTCACTCTGTCTCTGAGTCACATTTTGGTAACTCTCACGATGTTTCAGACGTATTCATAATGCTACATCACACTTAATAGACTATGGTATAGATAACAATAACTTTTATACACACTGGGAAACCAAAGCATTCGTTTGACTTACTTTATTGCAATATTTACTTTATTGCAATGGTCTGGAACCAAATCCACAATACCTCCAAGTTATGCCTATACACCTCCTCCAGAAAGCTTTCCTTGGTTGTCCCTGCCCTCATATAACCATCTTTTTAGTCAATGTGATAAGCACCTCGTAGGGAGAGTTTCCATTTGTACCTCTAAAAGGAAAGTTCAAGCCTAAATCAAGGCTCTTGTCTGATCATACTTGGTACTTAGCAAACACACACACATATACACAAACAAAAAACAGTGAGCACAATCTAGTCACCCAAGGGACCAGAGTGTAGGAGCAGTTAACAACTCAGGCACCAGGAACCTAACAGCAGTGCAGAGTGAGAATCTAAAGTCAACTGGGGACCCTGATGATACTCAATTTCAGGCAGCCTTATATACAAAGCCAGACATTCTGGCTGAGAGTTGTGGAGGGTGTTCCTGAAGCCATGCACAGAGATTGGTATGCACATTTCCCAATATCCTCACTGGACTCTCAAGGGACGCAAGGATACCTTGGGATCTGGAATGTACTCACTGCATACATTTGTAACACTAGGTGGCTGCAGCCAAGGGAAATCTTTGCTAGGCAGAGACTCCAGGTAGGGAGTTTAGACTTGCCCTCCAGAATAGCCAGACTGTCCTGTAAGAGAGCCAGTCCCAGTCACCCTGTGCTGCTGGGAATTTGAAGAGAAGTATGGCTGCAAATGAACTATTGGCACACCACTATGATCTGTCAAAATGCCCTGGGTTGACTTCCAAGTGAAGTAATGTTGAGAAAGCTGTGAAAAGGACAAGTGGACTGCATGGTGGGGCAGCAGCAGCTTGGTCTCCTGGAGAGGGAGAGTGCAGGGTACCCACCACAGAAGCCGGGTTCCCGCCATTCGATGTTCACGCCTTTCCGGGCACAGGCTGAGGCATAGCTGGCCACTGCATTACACAGGCAGTCTCTGCCATCTGAGCAGGAGCAGACATCATATCGGCAGTTTTGCAGGTAGGGCTGTGGACTGACAGCATGGTGGCAAGCCACAAACTTGGAGGACGTCAGCACTGAGCATGTCTCTTCTGCAAATCTGGCTGTGTTGGGAGAGAAGGGAGTGAGCCTGGGATGGTGGGGGCCCCCTGATGGCTGTGCCCCCAGAGAGCAGCATCAAGGGCTCCTGCTGCAAAATTCCCATTACAGCCCCTCCAGGAAGTCATTGCGATTTTTCTTCTGTGGCCAATTTGCTTTCTTTAACTGTATTTGCCTTAACTAAACACTAAAGAGCATCCCTCCACCACCACCACCACCCCACACCCACACACACTGACTGAGAGCACATAACCTAGTGAGTGATTCCTTGATAAGAGGGGAAGTTAGCATAAGGCTGAACTGATGCTGCAGATGAATCTGCACATGAATTAGCTCACTTGTCATACAAAAACTTCCTCTAGGTTTGTGTGCCTGCTGCTCCAAAAGACTGATAGTGTCCCAGGGCAGGAACCAAGTTGTTTTGCTTTTCTTTCCCAGGGTTTGGCCCACAGAGGGAAACTTTGAAGAATAAATGATTCAGATGCAGATCATCAAATGCTGATGGTATAAACAAAGGCTCACCCAACTCCTAGTTCTAGGCTATCCCACCCTAGTGGGGACATTGTCCCGTGGTATGGACTGGGGCTCTCCCACAAGGCTCACGTACTTGAGCGCGGGTTGAGGTTACAGGGATCGCTGTCCTGCTTCTGCAGATCTTGGCAGTCCCCGTGCAGCTTCCAGGAGTTCCCGAAGTCCACCACCAGGGGCTCCACCAAGCCTGAAGGAGTGAGGAAGTCATCGCCCTTGTTGCTGTTGTAATTCCCGCACAGGCCACAGGTCTTCCCAGTGTAGGCAGGTGACAGCTGCAGAGAGAGGCCAGGCCACATTGTGTTGTTGTTATGTGCCATGGAATCGGTTCTGACTCAACAACTCTGTACAGAGTTTCCGAGGCTGTAAATCTTTACGGGAGCAGAAAGCCTCATCCTTCTCCCGCGGAACAGCTGGTAGTTTCAAACTGCTGACCATGAGATTAGCAGCCCAATTCATAACCACTACACTACCAGAGGCCACATGGTAGCAGCTGTCAATTTCATTCCAGTTCAGAAATCACTGGCAGAGAAGCAGAGAGCTATCACGCCAGGAGGAGTTTTAGAGACCATCTAGTCAGTTTAAGTCATCCATAAGGAGTCCTGGTGTGGTGCTGTAGGATACGCACTGGACTGCTAACCTCAGGGTTGGTGGTTCAAGCCCACCACCCACTCCTCGGAAACCTTATACAGGGTCACAATGAGTCAGAACTGACTTAATAGCACTTAACAACAGCAGTCCTTTTTAAATGAGGAAACTGAGACCCAGAGAGGGAGAGAGACTTACCTGGTCACAGAGACAGTGCAGAGTGGGAACAAGTAACCAGGTGGTTTCTGCCATCCAGGCTTGTCAGGGCAAACGGTGTAAGCTAATGGGAGTCAAGTTCAAACTCAACATTTCTTTTGTGAACACTTACACTGAGTTCAGGTGCATGTGAAACAAAACTCAGCTTGTTATTGCTAAAGCTCTCTTGGAGCTCACATGTTGGTAGTTGTTTCCAACTCAAAGAGACCCCTATGCACAACAGAACATAACAATGCCTGATCCTGTGCTATCTTCACAATTATTATTATGTTTGAGCCCACTGCTACTGCCACTGTGTCATCCATCTCACATTGAATGTCTTCCTCTTTTTCACTGACTTTCCACTTTACCAAGCATGATGTCCTTCTCCAAGGACTGGTACCTTCTGACGTGTCCAAATACAAGAGATGAAGCCTCGCCACCCTTGCCTCCAATGAACATTCTGGCTGTACTTCTTCCAAGACAGATTTGTTGGTTCTTCTGGAAGTCCATGTTCAATATTTTCTCCAACATCATAATTCAAATGCATTGATTCTTCTACGGTCTTCCTTATTCATTGTCCAGTTTTCACATGCATATGAGATGATTGAAAATACCATGGCTTGGATCAAGTGCACCTTAGTCCTCAAAGTGCCTTTGTTATCTAGTACTTTAATACTTTAATCCTAGTTCTTTAATATATTAAAGAGATCATTTACAGCCGATTTGCCTAATGCAATACATTGTTTGATTTCTTGACTAACTGTTGCTTGCATGAGTGTTGATTGGGGATGCAAGCAAAATGAATTTTCTGACAACTCAGTCCTTGGAACCCTTATACAGGCTTGCTATGAGTTGGAACCAACTTGATGGCATTTAACAACAACATATATTCTCATCTGAATCCAGCTTGAACCTCTGTTAGTTCCCTGTTGATGTACTGCTGTAGCTGTTTTTGAGTCAATCATTAAAAAAGGACAAATATCGTGTGGTCTATGTGTTATCACGGAGCATGGTGACTCTAGAGGGTAAGTGCTGAGCTGTGAATCACAAGGTCAACAATTCAAACCCACCAGTTACTCTAGAAGAAAGATGAAGCTTTCTACTCCCAAAAGATTTACAGCCTTGAAAACCTTATATAGGGTTACTATAAGTCAGTACTGACTCAATGGCACTTAACAACAACTATATAAAAAATTTTTAAATAAGTAAAAACACAGGATGCAATGTTCTTTGATAGTTACCAAAGATGGGAGACAACAGGAGGGGGAACCACTTGTTAGATAGTTGGTTGGCTGGTGGTGTGTCACGGAGTCAGTCCTAACCCATAGCGACCCTGTATAGGATTTCCGAGGCTGTAAATCTTTATGGGAGCAGAAAGTCTCATCTTTCTCTGCGGAACACCTGGCAGTTTTGAATAGCTGACCTTGAGGTCAGCAGCCCAAATCACAATCACTTTTTCTGATAATGAGAAAGGCAATACATAAGCCAGCATAATGTGCCCAAGGTAAATGAAGACACTGAGAGGTATGAAAGAAAAAAAGGGCAATTACAGCAGATGTTATAACATACAATTTTATGATAATAACAAAAGTATGTGTGTGGCTACATAGAAAATATGCATGCCGTATGTGTATAGGAAGGTATATGTGAGTACATGCACATGCTTATAGAGGTATAGTTCTAGCATAATAGAACAAACAGAATGGAAATAATGACATTGCAAAAACTGTAACTAAAGTCACGAAACAATTTAAAATTTAATTGTTAAATAGGAAACAGATTTGTTGTGTATACTTTCACCTTAAACACAATAAAATATTCAAAAAAAGAAAGAACGAGCAGAAAAGGCCTGACAATTGACTTCTAAGAATTCAGCCACTGAAAACCCCATGGAACACAGTAACACTCCTGACACTCATGGGTTCCCAGGAGTCAGAATGATTCAAAGGCAACTAGCTTAATACGTAACATAATATGCTTATTTTTTTACTTTACACTAAATGAGGCCAGTATTTTTTTGTGTTTTGTTTCACTCTTGTCATTTCAGCATCTAGACTAGTGCCTGTGAATACTCAAAAACTACACGTTGAATGAATGAATGAATGAGGCTGTCCCCTGGACATGGGCTGACATGTAATGCCAATCGTCAAGGCAAACTCTGAGCAAAGCTCTAGTCACCCTCGCCCTCTTCTGCTAGTATCTTCTCTCTCCTCCTTCTCAGACACTCATGCTCCTCAGTTACCTCCTCTCCCATCCCTCAACCAGGCAGGCCAGCACTGCCATCCCCTACTCTCTAAAACGGCATCGTCCTCCATCCTCTTGGCTTGCCGGAGTGGTGAACTCAGCTAGGGGTTAGAACAATGAGTATATCATGCGTACTAGGCTGTGGCAGGCTGAGAGTCCTACATGCTCTCAAGATAGCTTGGAGTACTTACTGATGAAGATTGAAGACTCTGATCTTAAGGATTGTAGGAAACCTCTCATTAGTGACAGTTCTGGAAAAGTGAAGCACTTCTGAGGGTCTGCTACACCACACTACCTAAATGATGGAGGTGGGCCCTACACTGTAGCCAGTGAGTAGGAAAGCAACATGTGAAAAGCACAACTTCAGTTGACCATGCTGTGCTGCCCAGCCCAGTTCTGTCCCACAGGAACCGAGCACACATGCCATATGGTGGCGAGGGAAGGAGACCAGAAGATTACAACTCATCCCAGGCGTCTCTCAGGGTGGAGGTGCTTTTCCTGCTCCTTTCCTGGATGTCTCAAGTCAAAACCAAACCAAACAAAACCTATGGCTGTCAAGTGGATTCCAACTCATAGCGACCCTGTAAGACAGACTAGAATTACCTCCCCACCCCCCACCCCCAAGAGTTTTCAGGGCTGTAAACCTTTACAAATGGAGACCGTCATATCTTCTCTCAGCTAGTGGGTTAGCTGACCTTTCAGTTAGCAGCCAAGTGTTTAACCAATGAGCCACCAGGGCTTCCTCATCCACTGAATGTCGTCGTTGTTGTTAGGTGCCATCGAATCAGTACTGACTCATAGCGACTCTATGCACAACAAAACGAAACACTGCCCAATCCTGGGCCAACCTCACAACTGTTGCCACACTTGAGCCCATTGATGCTGCTACTTTGCCATTCCATCTCGTTGGGGGTCTTCCTCTTTTTCTCTGACCCTCCACCTTACCAAACATGATATCCTTCTCTAGCAACTGGTCCCTCCTGACAATAATGTCCAAAGTATGAGAGATGAAGTTTGGCCAACCTGGCCTCCAAGGAGCACTCTTGCTGCACTTCTTCCAAGACAGATCTGTTGGTTCTTTTGGCAGCCCATGGCACTTTCAATATTCTCCTCCAACACCATAACTCAAAAGCATCAGTTCTTCTATGGTCTTCCATATTTACTGTTGAGGTTTCACATGCATATGAGGTTATTGAAAATATCATGGCTTGGGTCAGGCACACCTTAGTTCTCAAGCTGACATCTTTGCTCTTCAACACTTTGAAAAGGTCTTGTGCAGCAGATTTGGGTTGGGTCAGGTACACCTTAGTCCTAAAACTGACATCTTTGCTCGTCAACACTTTAAAAAGGTCTTGTGCACCAGATTTGTCTAATGCAATATGTTGTTTGATTTCTTGACTGCTGCTTCCATGAGTGTTGATAGTTGATCCAGGAAGAATGAAGTCCTTGACAATTTCAACCTTTTCTCCATTGATAAGAATGTTGTTTACTGGTCCAGTGGTGAGGATATAACCCAGTTTCTCAGATTACTTGCTCAGCATATAGGTTGAATAGGTATGGTGAAAGAATACAGCCCTGTTGCACACTTCACTTAATTTTCAACCACTCAGTGCTCCTATGTTCTTTTCGAACAACTATCTCTTGGTCCACGTACAGATTCCTGCACTTAGTAGCCCCTTAAACTCCTGGGATTCTAATGCCTCCACCCCATCCACAAAGTCCTTTTCATCCTCCACAGTAAATCACATAAGAAACCCTCACAATCATGGGGGCATCTATCCTGTCTTGAATCTTGACTACTGAAATCTTCCTGTTAGCTGAACTGATCTTACACCCATTCCCACAGAAGAAGCAAAAAAAGGGACGGGGATTGCCGTCGTAGGTGAGCAGGACCCTGAGGAGGAGGAGGACATCCACTGGAGATGAGTAGTAATGGTCCTGCTGACTGAGGAAGAAAGTTCAGGGAGGGCGGAGGGTGAGCACCCTTCCTGTGGCACGGGCGTGCTTAAAGAGTGGAATGGCTGCTGTGGAGCCCTTCCTTGAAGCTCAGAGTACAAGGAAGCAGGAGAGATGAGTTCTGGTCAAATGAGACCAGCCAAATTATTTTCCTCCTCCAAAAAAGAGATGAATCTATATTTTCCACTGTAAATGGGAGGTTGACAAGATCTCCAAGACTCCTGCTCTTTGCTCTGTGGTTGTAAGACTTATTTAGTAGTTAGTTTGGAACTCTCTCAGGAACTCTAAGACAAGGGAAAGAACAAGGAAACACAGGAATGGAGAAAACCAGGAAAACATCAGGGACTACCAGCATTGATACATCACAGGATTGTACCAAGAGCCCCTTGGTGCATGGGAACCCAGGAGGCAGGAGTGAACTCTTCAGGGATCCTAGACATGATCTATGGCAGTGGTTCCCAAATGTGGTCTTGGAACCCTTGTGGGAGGTGGACATTTCAGGGGTCCATAAAGTCAAAACTATTTTCATATTTTAAAATTTCATAGAACTATCATTAAATAGGAGCCCTGGTTTGGTGCCATAGGATAAGCACTCGACCACAAGGTCAATTTGAACTACAAGGTTGGTGGCTCAAACTCAGCAGCCATTCCTCGGCACCCCATATAGGGTTGCTATGAGTCTGAATGGATTTGATAGCACTTAACAACAACAAATTATCAAATAGCAGTCCTGGTGTGGTGTTGTAGGCTAAGCACTGGACCAAAAGGCTGGTTTGAACCACAAGGTCGGTGATTCAAACTCACCAGCCGCTCCTCAGAAACCCTATATAGGGTTGCTGTGGGTCAGAAATAACTAGATAGCACTTAACAACAATTATCAAGTAACAAAGACATTACTTGCCTTTTTTGTCCTTATTCTCTTACAAGTGTCTGGTGGATTTTTCCAGAAGTTACATGACATATAGTGTTGCAAAAAACTGAATGCAGAAGCAGACATGAAATCCAGCTGTCTTCTAAGAAGCCAGACATTAAAGGACATGCAGAAATGTAATACAATGACTTCTCACTACTTGCTTTTGTTTGGGAAAACAAAGCTATTTTTCCCCAAAATTTATATTAATACATAATGGGCTTATTACTATTCTTTTTAAGCATACTTGATTTATTTTTTAATATGGAAAATATTGAAAGATATAAACTTCATCGACAAAAGATCTTGGGGTCTTCTATAAGTTTTAGAGAACAAAGATTTCCTGGGACCAAAAAGTGAGAATTACTGGTGTTGTTGGGAAAGATGCTGGCCAGAGAACTAACCCTCACTCTGTCACCAGCCAGCTGTGTAGGGCTGGGCATGCCTCTTACCCTCCCTAAGTCTTGGTTGTTTTATTTATAAAATGGTAATGATATCACCAACACTGTTCACTTAGTAGGAAAATGCCTGCTGAAAAAAAAATGTATATGGGAATCTTGTGAAAAACATGGATTGATATCCAAGTGTAGAGTCCCTGGGTGATACCAGTGGTTAACACACTCAGCTGCTCACCAAAAAGTTTATAATTCAAGTCTGTTGTGAGATAAAGACCTGGCAATTTATACCTAAAACATCATTCAGGCATTGAAAGCACTCTGGAGCACAGCCCTACTCTGACATACGTGGGGTCACTGTGAGTCAGACTGGAATGAATGGCACTTTGAGTTGGAATACGAATGTGGCTTTCTGAGGACCGTGGAGCACGAGAGGACCTCAGAGGCCCAGTGAAGGGAGAGAAGTGGGGGGCTTCCCTGTATAACTCTTTCACAGGCAGCAGGGAGGTTTTCTCCCCAAGGGTACACAAGATAGGGTCTTGATTGTGAGTTTCAATCTGGCTCTTCCCAGAGTGGGAACCCCACTTCCAGGGTGTGCTATGACCAAAAGGGACAGAAAATCCACCACTTCCCCTCCCTCACAACAGCCTGTCCACATCTGGAGACTCGGGCTCCCCAAACTCCAGAAATGAGAATTCCCAAAATGAATAAGGAGCATCCAAAAAACCAATGCCAGCTTCTCAAATACAAGAGAGGTCTGTTCCCTCATTGTGGGGGTGTAAGGATGAAGGAGAAAGGAATTCTTCTTCCACAACACAAAGCCATTCTGCCTGAGGACAAGGGGTGCTTTATCCAGGACTGACTGTGGAGGCAGAGACTCAAGAGGGGACCCACCTTCACCAGCAGCCCCCCGCGGCCATCCCAGTCCATTTGCAGGTCCTCCCCATAGCTGAGGTGCACAGAGGTCATCACAGTGGGCTGGATGCGGAGGTCACCTGGAACCAAAAGGGAACAGGATGTGGAGTGGAGTGGGGTGGGGGCATGGTGGAGGCAGGCAGATGTATTGAGGGGAGGGGTCTCACAAAGGACTGTAGCAATGAATAGCAATGAGATAAGGTGCAGATGAGAATGTCTGTGAGATTTAAGAAGGTCTCAGGAGGAAGGGTGACCAGGATAGATACAATGCAAACAGGATTCCCCAGGGAAAACTCAGCTTCCCTGTCATAGCCTGCAATTCCATCTGCTGCCACAAGAGAGAAGCAGAGTCTCCTGCATCCTTGGCTTTAATGCATGTTCTAAACAGATCTCTGTTTACTGCTGAAACCAGCCCTGAGAGCATGCCTGTCCCTCTGCCAGTGCACACCACTTCCAGGCTGTTACTCAGTCTTCATGGCTGGATGCCTATGACTGGGTGCAAAGTTGAGTACCACTTCTCATTGCTGTGGGGAAGTGGGGAAGAGACAGGAGGCATGCCCCTTGTCCTGGAGGTAGGGCATCACACACACAACATTAAGCACACATGGACATGCTCCTCAGTTGTGTGCCATGAAAACTGGCCAAGGAGTGGCTAGGCCAGAGGGAAAGTAATCATGGAACAGAAGAGAGGAGGCACTTTGAAGGTGGCAGTTGGGATTGTACTGTGCTGTTGGATAGGGTACATTGCAACCTGAGCAGAGTCACTGGACAGATAGGTTTTTCCATAGGTCACAGGGATGCGTGGCCCTGACCCGACTCTCATCCTCTGCTCTGAGCTCTGAAGGTCAGTCTTTGCTCCTGTCCTGCTTCAAAGGAGAACCATGCTGCCCAGCCCTCAACTCACCCCTTTGGCTCAAGTCAAGTGAGACTCTTCTCAGCTCTCTTCTCCCCTCTGCACTCACTCCCAAGCCTGGAGCAGCCTCCTCAGCTCCAGACATCCATCCACCTTCCTCTTCACATCCTCTTCCTCCAGGATGTGCCCTTGGCTTGCAGGCATGCAGACCAAGGACACCCACCCTCCCTTCTGACAGTAACTCTAGATCACACTCACAGAGAAGAGGAGGGCAGATCGCCAACACTGATGGCGCTAAGAAGAAGGGAACTGTGGGTGAGCTGACAGAGGAGGAGGCCCACCTTTCTGGAAGGGTAGCTGGACGTCCTGGCCATCCATAGCGATGCCTCCCCCATGCTTCAGCTTCACGAGGCTGTTGTACAGGTGAGGCAGCCGGACGCTGACTGAGCGGGTGCAGACGGCATCCGGGTCATCAGCACACTGCCAAGGAGACATGCAAGAGTGCTGTCACAACCCTGCCATCCCAGAAAAAAACCTAGCCCTGGTGAGCCTCTGAGAGCCTTCTCACATGTGCAACTCCATATTCACAGAGCCTTCTATGGGCATGGGTCCTAAGAGTTAGGCAACAAGAAGGCCCTAAGCCCAAGACTTTTATAAGTATAGGCCTTTGGCTCATCTTGGGTTTACTGTTCCAGAGCAAATTAGGGTCTTGGATCCTCAGGCAGGGTAAGCCCTATATAATGAGCCCTGCAGGCTCATTGTGAGCTGGAAGACATTCAAGAGCAGTAGGGTGTTTTGGCGTGTGTGTGTGTGTGTGTGTGTGTGTGTGTGTGTGTGTGTGTGTAGTTCTGGTGTGG